GTCCGCAATTTTGCCAAGGACCGGTCCCCCAATTTTTTTTGCCCCCGAAAAACCCACTTGCGTCCTAGTCGCCCGCCGCAAAAAATGCGACACCTTGACACATACGCCGAAACCCACTATACCGCAGCCTAAGGGCTGCGAATTGCGGCCGCAATCTATTTCGCAGTTGGAATGGTTTTCTTAAATTTATGTAGCATTTTTCCTGGAAAGATCAAAACAAAATCTACGAGTACTCAAATTTTCAGGTTTTTTTACGCATTCTTCTGAACGTGAAAACTCACTGAATTTGTAGTACTTTTTTAGTTGGCCCAAGCATGGCTGAGAGGCAAAAATGAAAAATGTGTTGAATCGGCGCGATAATTATTTTGAAGTCTAAATGATTTTTTGTAAATGTTCTATTATTATTTCTGGAAAGAACACGACCTCATCTATGGATTCTCAAAATTTCAGATTTTTGTGCATGTTCGTCTGAGCACAGAAAATCGCCAAAGTTGCCTCTTGCAAAACACTTGTTTCGTTGTGCCTGACCTCCCTGTTTTGAGAAGACGGGGCTCCACGCCTGGGCCTGAGGGCCCTTTTGCAGTTCACATGCCCTCACTTCTTTTTGGGTTCCGCTTCTACCAAAGGACCGGTCCAATGCCCCCCACTTCTTTTTGGGGTCCACTTCTACCCGAGGATCGATCCTTCTTTTTCCAAAAGTCCCGGTTCTACCAGAGCTAGCTGTAGGTAGTCCGCAATTTTGGCAAGGAACGGTCCCCCAAATTTTTTTGCCCCCTAAGAACCCACTTTGCGTCCTGATCGCCCGCGACAAAAAATGCTCCACCTTGACACAGACGCGGAAGCCCACTATACCGCAGCCTAAGGGCTGCGAACAAAAACAGCGGGACGAAGTAGCCGTCTTCCCCCGAACACAACGCACCCTTATTTTGGCTGTATCTGGCGGGAAATATATATTGTATACATTCATTTTTAGGGTGCGTTATGTTGGGGGCAAGACGGTAGGCATCGATACATAGGCCATGGAAGAAGGCAAGGGAAGAGACATGTGTTTGCTCCTCTGGCTGAATAAATAATTGGGCGGGTTCCACGCGACAATTTCCTAGCCAAGCCAATTGACTTACCGTGAGGGCACGGGTGCGCAGCCCGTAGTTCGTTTATTGATGTGGTTCGGGAAGGGTAAGGTAGTGATTATGTTGTATGTATGTTTTGTCATGTTCGCTATACGCAACTCGAAGAGTGTGTGTGGGGGGGGTGCCGGTTGGTGCTTTGTTCACGATGTTCATGGGATGCTGGACCTAGTTTCCAGCAGGTGGCCCTCCCCATCAATAGACAGGAGAATGTATATGCGTGTGTATGTGAGTGTGTGTATGTGTGTATGTGTGTGTGTGTGTGTGTGTGTGTGTGTGTGTGTGTGTGTGTGTGTGTGTGTGTGTGTGAGAGAG